CCCCCCCCCCCCCAGCGTTCTCCAGCCCGTCTCATGTGGTTGAGGGTTGGATCCGACCACCCGGACTCCAGAGCAGCCTCATAAAGACGCTGTCTGACTGAGGAAGAGGAGTCTGGATCAGGCTCCTCTTCCTCCTCCGGTTCTCTTTCATCCTCCCTTCATGTGTGCTCCTCTGCTTTTACAGGCCGAGGCTTCAGAAGATCAAACCTCCTCTTTCCTTGGAACTTCTCTTTTAAAGCAGAAGCTGCAAAACCACCAGAGCTTTCTGGAAGTTTGAGAAGCAGCTTTTAACCACATGAGCAAAAAGCTCTGCTAGTCAGCCTGGTGCCACCGTAAGAAAGGTCAAAGGTTAAAGGACTCATGTCAACAGACTGGGTCTAAGAATGGATTTCTAAAAACGTTTGCTAGTTTACTAACCACTAAACAGTTTAGGGCCAAAATAAAAAACAAAAAAAAACAATTAATTAGTTCCTTTAAATCAAGGATGAAGACCTTTTTTCTTAATGTTGCCTTTCTGTTCATAACTGTTCATTTATTTAATGTGTAATTTCTTATGCTAAACTATAACTTTTTATCTTGTGTTTAATGTATCTTAATGTTTTTAGGGGGGCTTTTAAAGAAGTTTTTTGGGTGTTTAAAGCTGTTTTGGGGGGCTTTTAAAACTTATCTTTTGTTTTATGTATCTTAATGCTTTTGTTTTAATCGTTTTTTATATTTTCTTCTTTTTTTTTAATCGTTTTTTACCTGATTCTGTGTAAATCACTCTGAATAAAGCTGCCCTGCCTCGCTGGGCTCTGGACTCTCCTGGTTGGGTCTGTTTTTCAGTTCAGTTTCCATCATATTTTCTCGGTTGTGTTCCTAATAATTGGGACTTGTTCTGTTTGGGGGCTAGTCCTTTTTTTTTTTTTTTCCCCCCCCCCCCCGTTAGGCCCCGTCCTGTTAGCAGCTGATTTCAGCTGCTCCCCCTCTCTCACCACTTCCCCTCCGGGTCTCAGTTCCCTGTTTTCCACTCTTTCTTTCCTTTTTCGCTTCGGTTGTTTGGTTCCACAGAGTCCAGCATCTCAGCTTCTCTCAGTCTTTTATCTTTATGCATTTAGACGCTTTCTCCTGCTTTAAAGCTGTTTTTTAGGCTTTAAAGCTGTTTTTTGGGGGCTTTAAAGCTGTTTTGGGGGGCTTTTAAAGCTGTTTTAGGGGGTTTGTACTCCATTTTTTAAACGATTCTCACAAAATACACCCCTCCTGTTAACCTCGGTGGGTATGTTGACAGCTAATTCCCAGCTCAGATCCCTCTTACTGAGGGGGGGGGGC